TTAAGATCAGATCGGAAATTTTATTTCTGATCTTACAAGCACTTTCCTTGTGGAACAAAAGTAGAATGATGTGTGAATGTTTCATTACTTGTTCTCTAGGAATGATCTGTTCTTTACCAAAACACAAACGCTGCAAATTATCTCTTTCTCAGAGATCGGCTCAATAGCATGGTCAGACCACATGCCTATATTTCTAAAGATTAAAGGGAATATAGAATATTTTCACACAAAACAATGGTGCTTAAGTGAATCATTATGCAATCAAGGAAATATGACAGAAAATTTTGTGGAACAGGCAAAAGATTTATTGAGGTTAATGACAACGGGGAGATGACACGTCAGTTTGGTGCATCTTTAAAAGTTATATGCATAGTTTGTTTATAAAGCTTGGATCACATCTTTAACCTCTAACAAACCTTTACATCTCACTGGACAAACAAGAAAATATAAATAAACTTACTCCAAATATACTAAATAGAGATGAAAGTAGAGCGAGTGTGTCAGGTTGCTGATAGTTAATGGGGGGGGGTAACCCCTGAAGGAACATAACTAAGAACAAGAGCAAAAGGCTAGGTCAGAGATAGATAAGTCTAGATAATTCCTGACCTAACCCTTATATGTATTAGTGCAACCTATGTAGACTAGTATAGATTAAAATATAACTTTTAATAAAACTTAACTAAAAGTACTAAATATAAACACACACAGTAGGAGGAGAGGGGGAAATTATGTGCTTAAAGGTACTGCTGTTGTGTGGTAATAGTACCTATGACACGGAGGGGTAGTAATAGTGAAGTAGTCTCAGATGTCCAGAGAACCAAATGGTAATCAAATATCCATATCCCCAACTCCCATCACCCAGTGTCAAAGTTGCATCAAGTCCCCTTCCCCCTAACGCTAGTAGTTTAGACGAAACTAACTATTAGCTACCTATCAAAACATGATATGGTAAGTTAAAATATATAGCGAGGTGGCTAATGATGCTGCAGCATCATCCCCTGTCACCCCCTGCCACCCTCTGCTCTAAAAATCCCGACGCACTTTTAGCCGAGCACCGGCTGTTCCAAGGGAACCGGGTCAGAGTAAATCGGGAGTTTAAATATCCCGCCCTCTTGCCGACTGGATCACTGTTCCATCAGCCGGATTGGAGGTTTGTACAAAGCTATATTTAGCCTCTAATGTACAATTAATGTATGTTGCATCACTAGTATGTCAATTTAGTGTCGAGTAGAATTGCCGCTTGATCTTAGAATCTTTAGAGCACCCATATTTTTTTTTTTATTCTTTATTTTTTCGTGCATTCAATAAACAAGCTGGCTTGCACTGCCACAACAGCTGGTGCCACCTGGGCATTAAGCATAATATAACATTGATGTGGACATTCAGGTAAGTACAGTGCACATTTTATGAATATAAGTACGCTGGGTGAGTCTAGGGTTTCTGTCTAGAAAGTAAAATAAATGAATGGGGAGGGGTGTCTTTCTCTTGGTACATGTAAAAGAATAATGTTCACCTGCTTAACAAAGGAGTGGGACACTTTGCAGTCCTAATGGCTGTGTATATGCTGGAGAGGGAAGGGGGTGAGTCTTTATCAGCCTGCTTGAGATGAGCTAATCTGATTTCTGGTGGTCAAGTTAAGTCGAGTATTATTTGTGCGATGTAGTATGCATATGGTTAATGACCATTGTCTTCTATTGTGTTCGTCTTGGTAAGGGTAGAGTCGTCGGAATGCTCACTTGTAATGGGGGGGGGGAGTGTGTGTATGGTCCTTGGCCGGTTGGAATGGTTTTCTCACCTTCTTGGTGGGGGTGGATTGGTGTCTCTAGCAGCCGCTGTGTGTTGGATGTATGGGTGGGCTTCGGCCATAGTGGTGTGTATAGCAGGGTGCTGTTCGGTCGTGGTTATAGGGTATACTGTCAAGCCCTCATGGTTATAAGAAGGGGGGTGTGGCAAGCGGCCGTATTTCCTCTGGCCTGTCAGTTGCGTGTGTCGTATGTTATGGGGGGAGGGAGAGTGCACTCTGGGCCAGTAGTGTGGGATGGGAATCTGTCTTGTGTGCAAGATTCGGTAGTGTTGCAGGTAACACCTAACAGGTACTCAAAATCATGGTCAACAAAACAAGTCTTGTATAAAAGTATAGAAGAGTAAAAAGTTCTGTGGCCAGGTATCATATGGTCAGTTTGGGCCTGGGGGCCCCAAAGTCAGATGGCTGCATCTTGCATGTCCCTCAGCTTCAGCCTGTGTCAGCAGCGGGTCTCGGCACAAACGGGACTATGCTGGGGACATCCCAGGTGCGGTTAGGAGCTGTGTTGGTGGAGTCTATGGTTTTGATTCCTAGTTTACTGAGGAAAGTTCCTGCGTCTTCTGTCGATGTCAGTCAGTAAGTTGTTGCTCCCTTTGTCACTACGAGCATGGATGGGCCCCATCGGTACCTGACTCCTGCCGCTCTGAGGGTTATGGTGACTCATTGTACTGACTGTCTCCAGGCCAGGGTAGCCCTGCAAAAGTCCTGCAGGAAAGTGAGCTGCATGCCCTCAAAGTGGTATGGGCTCTGACTGCCGAGCGCCGCCATCACAGCCATTTTGTCTCGAGTCTGGAAGCGAAGAAGGACATCGCGGGAGGCCTCTGCTGGGGCTCTCGGTGATTTGGTGAGTCTGTGTATGCACTCCACCAGCATGGTTTTCGCCTGCTTGGGGTTGAGTATTGTGTCTAGGACGCGTTGGGTGAGTTATGGTAGTTCTTTGTTGTCAATGGAGTCGGCAATGCCTCTGATATTTATGTTGGGGCGACGTCTTGCATCGTCTAGGCCATCCAGCCGGGTCTGTAGTGCGTGGTGCGAGGACTGGGGGTATATCAAAGTCTCCTCCCTAGTTTGATGGCGCTGTGCTTTTGCGGCTATGTCTTCCTCGGCAACCCTCACTCTGCCCGTGACGACGGTCACTTCCTCCTGTAGAATCGCCATGTCGGAGTGAAACAGGGTGCGCAGGTTCTGCAGAATGTTTAGGATGTCCCCCTTGGTGGCCGGGGCTTTCAGGTCACCCAATGATAAGCTCCGGATGGGGTCTGTAGCCTCCGGTATGGGATCTAGAGCATCTAGTGTTTCCTCCTCTGAGGATGAGCTTTGGGGATCTGGGGTCGCCGCCATTTTGGATTTAGGCCTCGCCAGGAAAAGATCACCTATTTTCCGTGATACGTCCTCGAGGTAAGTTTTCAGCTTTTGTTTCTTTTCCCCATGTTGTCGTTGAGTGTGGGGGCTGAAAAGTAGTCGGTTTGTCGTCATGGGGATCTATTAAACTGCATTTATCGCCGTTATTACTCGGGAGCACCGCAGGCATGTGACTGCTCTTGGTGCAATCCAGCCCCCTTCACCCATATTTGTCTTTTGCAACAAAAGTTGCTACAGCGGCTACTGTTTCGTTACATTGATAATTGACAGTAGCTAATTGTGAGTGAATACATGGTAGTGCTTGATAACTGAAAGTTTCTAGATCATTATATTATTATTTTAAGGTTACCCAACCAAGGGGAAATGATGCTGAATAGTTACAATCAAATACTTATAACTTAAAACCCATTGGGGCAGAAAGAAACCCTCATGTGTGTTAGTGAGTGGGTGATTATTTCAATTAAACCTTCTCCCTAGTCTCGTTCAAAAAAAACTGTAGGAACTATACTTACAAATGAAGTGACTGAAATTAATAGAATAGAACAGAATGAAATTAATTTAGTAAGGAGTTAAGTTAAAAAAACTTATTTACAGTCAAAGGGTCAACAGACTAAATTAAAACTCTGATTGAAAACATTATATAGTGTAGTGTAATATTTCCAACCATAACCACTGTGTGTATAACCACTGTGTGTATGCACATATTGTTCATTATATACATTCCTTGTTATTATATATAGTGTTGGTGAAATTTCCTAATAGACATTTAGGTAGTATAGTCTGTAGTGATATTCAAAATCATAGTTCCTGGTTATTTGTACATACTGTCCTAAATTATACATTTATATATTTAGGGAGATTATCCTAGTAAAATAATAACCTCAGAGAGATGTTGATTCCTCCTATTAGTACCTTGTAATTGACAAGCCCTTTTTACAGGGAGTTGTCATGAAGGGGAAAACTATGTTTATATATTCCCCAAAGTCAAAACAAAATATATTAGGGTTAGACAACCAACAATTAACCATACGTCATAGTGTATTTTAAGGGCTCATCATGTATCTACTTGATGAATGAATGAATGTAAAATTAAATTGGCTAAAAAATGGTAAGGCCCCTGGACCTGATGGCTTCTCCACGATTTTTTATAAAACCTTTAAGAACATAATCTGTTATGTCGTACTTTCAACTTGTTTTCCATAAATAGATTTATTCCACAGGAATTATTACAGGCCAATATTCTACCCAAGCCCGGGAAGGATCCAAACACCCTGTCAAATGATCATCCTATTTCTTTGATAAACACAGACATTAAGATAATTTCTAAAATATTGACAGATAGATTGAAGATATTCATTCCTGAACTAATACATAAAGATCCAACAGGATTTGTGTTACAAAGAGATATAGCAGACATTACTCGTAAGATCTTAAACATAATATATGTCTATCAATAAGATGGCACAAAAAACAAAAAAACTCTAATGATGCAATAAAATGTTTGCAGCAACCAATTAAAATCCTGGTAATACGATTCACACTAAAAACAACACATAAAAATATTGATGCGCAACATTAAAAATCACCCACTGTGGATATATACAAAAGCTCCTTAAAGTGATATTGCACAATCCCTAAATATGGGTGAGGATATATTAAAAACAATTAAAGTGATATTACACAAATGTTTTTATGTGTTGTTCTTAAACTTAATAAACTATCTAATTCTTACCTGACAGTGTTTTTTTTTTTTTTAAAGATAGCACCATGATGTTATATATGACCCCATAAGCTCGAATTATCGGCCCCGGTATCGTTTCCCAATGGTTTAACATTAAGAATGTTACAAGGCAAGGATGCCCCGTGGCTCCACTTTTGCACATTCTATATGTATACTGCTGGCTGCCGCAATTAGGCAGAATGAATCAAGAATTCTAACAGAACATCATAAAATTACATTGTATGCAGATGACATCTTGCTTACCTTAGCTAAACCATTGGAATCTATCCCTCACAATTTAAAACTGATTTACGAATTCGGGAAAATCTCCTGGTAAAAGTTGAATACAAATAAAATGCATATGCTTATGTTTAATGCCCCCTCAAATTATGTGGAACAACAGAGAAAAAGATACGACTGGGACTGGGACAGTCAGATAATAGAGTATTTATATATTCATATTAGATCAAATTTAAATAATATAATAAAGGAAAACTATAAAGTAATACTTGCCAGAAATGGAAAGGCTTGGAAGTTTCATTGATAGGACGATTAAAAACAGTCTCTGCATATGTATTATCAAAATTGCTGTATTTATTTTGTTCAATACCTCTCAGAGTACCCCTTAATATTCTCTCTCAATTAAAAAATATTCATGGAATTTATATGGAGGGGAAAAACCCCTAGAATTACATATAAAGTAACAACTGAACATCTCAGTCTAAATTTTCCTGATATAATAGAGTTACATGACATTATCATGTTCACACACTTCCTGAAATGGGACAGTAATACAAGTAACCCTAATTGGAAAAAAAATGGAGGGAAATTCATATTCAAAAATATCCTTGTAAGGGATCACCTGGGTACCTCCGCTAACATATCCCCATAAAAGTCACATCCCCTGATAGCCCCGATCTGGGTGAACAACATATTCAAAAATCAACCAGATCAGTTCAGGGGTTCAGGAATTTCCTGGAAGTCATAGTTTTGACTAACCGCAAGCATGGCCCCATGCCCAAAACTGTTCCAGGGAAATCAGTGCAAACAGTCGGTCAAGTTTAGTAGTCTTTTACAGGTTTCCCTGCAGGGTCCACAGTCTGTGGGCAGGAGCTCGTGGCAAACTCACTTATTTAATTTACCGTATATACTCGAGTATAAGCGACCCAAAAATAAGCCGAGGTACCTATTTTACCACAAAAAAACTGGGAAAACTTATTGACTCAAGTATAAGCCAAGGGTGGGAAATGCAGCAGCTACTGGTAAATTTCTAAATACAATTAGATCCCAATAAAATTACATTAATTTAATATTTATTTACAGTGTGTGTATATAATGAATGCAGTGTGTGTGTGTGTGTGTGTTTGTGTAGTGTGTATATAATAAATGCAAAGTGTGTGTGTGTGTGTGTGTTTGTGTAGTGTGTGTATATTGTGAATGCAGAGTGTGTGTTTGTGTAGTGTGTGTATATAATGAATGCAGTGTGTGTGTGTGTGTGTGTATAGTGTGTATATAATGAATGCAGAATGTGTGTGTTTGTGTGAATACAGTGTGTGTGTATATAATGCAGAGTGTGTGTTTGTATTAATGCAGTGTGTGTATTACAGTGTGTGTGTATATAATGCAGAGTGTGTGTTTGTATTAATGCAGTGTGTGTATTTAATGCATAGTGTGTGTTTGTGGGAATGCAGTGTGTGTGTATATAGTGCAGAGTGTGTGTGTTTGTGTAGTGTGTGTAAACTGGGTGGAGGGAGGGCATTTTTATTATTTTAATATTTGTATTATTTTATTTTAATATTTGTATTATTTTATTATTTTAATATTTAATTGTTTACTTTTTTTTTTTGCCCCCCCTTCCTGCATGTTACTTGGCCAGGAAGGGGGGATATGACAGTCCCTGGTGGTCCAGTGGTATGGGCTGAGCATTGGGGGGGACCGACAGCAAGCTGTTACTTACCTTTGCAGTAGCTCCCTTCATCTCCCAGTGTAAATCTCGCGGTCTGTGTGCCGCGTGGAGCGTTGCCATGGGCGTGGATCTCGCAAGATTTACACTGGGGAGCTAGAGGTAGTTGCTGGCAAGGTAAGTAACAACTTGCTGCCATCCCCGCCATGACCGCCGGGCTTGTAATGAGCTCGGCGGTCCTGGTCTGTATTCTGGCAATGTAAGTTGCCATAATCCATACCCTGACTCGAGTATAAGCTGAGGGGGGCTTTTTCAGCACAAAAAATGTGCTGAAAAACTCGGCTTATACTCGAGTATATATGGTAATTTGGCTTGGAACTAAACAATATAAGAGT